GCATTTGTTTTCAACTAGGAGTATAAGCAGTTATACTCCTGGAGACAAGAAGCATAAAAGTCTATTTAAGCATGGGGGACTTACAATATTATCCATTGTTATTAAACATGAACAAGATTTGGAATTTCACATTTGTGTGTTTGTTTTCAAAAGCTCATGGTTTTACAAGCCACTTCTCTAGTTCCAGCAGAATGGTACACTGGAAACTCACTCTACCTTCACATTGAAACACAAATAATATCTCCTGAGAGGCAAGGTGAACCTAACTTAACTTCATAAAGCTTGTAGAAGCACTTTCCAGTCCATGGTCATATCAAGCTGAAGGCACTGATCTGGAAGTAGTTCACAGGGGATAGAACAGCAGGCCAAAATCAGGAGAAAACAACCAGATTATTTAAAGAGGAATGTTCTGCACAGCAACTGGCAATGAATTCTTGACCAAGTTAGTATCATTAAAATAAAAATAATAGCCAGTGCAGGTGACTCACACCTGCAATCCTAGCTATTTTCAGAAGGCAGAGGATCAGAAGGATCGTGGTTCAAAAGCCAGTTACAGGCAAATAATTCTTTGAGACCCTATCTCAAAAATATCTAACACAAAAAGGGCTGGTGGAGTGGCTCAAGGAGTAGGCCCTGAGTTTCAAGCCCTGGTAAGTGCAAATAAATAATTAAAAATGCAGCCATGTGTCACTTCTCAGAGGGAAGTTTCTTTCTCTGTTTTCCTTTCCTTTTCTTTTTTTCTTTTTTTCAGATTAGAAGTGTCAGTATGTGGTTCCAGACTGGCATGGAACTTGGCATCTAGCATAGTCTGGCACCAGGATTAACACTGCACTGGCCATGATGGCCCAAGAGGCTCATTCTGAGATTTGACATTACTAATTTGTCATTCTGCTAACACCACAGTGAATACAAAAAAACTAAACAGCTATGAATTGCTAGGTGATATATGTCATGGGTCAAACATCATCTCTGTTAGTTTGCAATTGACTGAAGGTCATTATGGCAGCGTATGGCTATACAAAAAATTTAAATAAAAACAAGAGATATGAAGGGGTGAAGGAAGTTGTTGCTACATTCACAGAAAAACATTGAAGGATACAATGACCAGATATGTTAAACCATGCTAAGCTGTATCCTGGCTAGAGAACAGCAGGTCAGAAAACAGGATTTCCATTTATTTTTTTAAGACAGGTGTATCTAGGTAACACAGTCTGTCTTCAAGCGCCCAATCTTTCTACCTCATCCTGCCTTAGGGAACAGTATTAGCCATGACAATTCATTTTAATACATCATACATGTATGTGTGTATATATACAGAGAGAGAAATATATATGGAAAAGTATTTTGAAAGAACATATAGATAAAACTATGGCTAACACCAAGAGTGTAGCTGTGTTGTGGGAACATGGCTGTTTTTATTTACTTGTTATCTTTCTGTCATTACTTTAATGTGATTTATGTAATTTGATAATCATTACCTAAAAAAATACACCATTAGAATTGCAAAAAAATTATACCACTGAGAATATTGAAACCAAAAATTATGGTATGAGATTTATTTATTCCAATACTGGGGATTGAACCCACAGGGATAAAGCTTTGAAACCTAAGCTTTATCACTTAAGTCACATCTATAAGACAATACCCTTTTTAAATTGATACATTCTAACACAAGGTTTATCTTGGAAATCTGATGAAGGGATAAATACAACATGACTCCATAATGAAGTTCAGAAAAAAACATAAACGAATGAGAAATAGCACAATAGCATAAAAGTATACAAAAAAGTTAAAGATATTTTAAACAATAAAACACAAAAAAGAGCAAGCTCAAGTAAAAAAGCCTCCCAACCAAAGGCAAGAAACTGGAAAGAAAGGAAGGGTATGAAAGAAAGAAAAGAGGGAGGAAGGAAGGAAGGGGGGAAGAAGGGAGGGAGGGAGGAAACAAGGAAGAAAGGAAGGAGAAGGAAGAAACAAAGTGAGAAAGAAAAGAAGGAAGGAGTGAAAAAAAGAGAAAGTGAGAAAAAACAAAGAAAGAAAAGGAAGGCGAGAAACAAAAAGTGAAGAGAAACCTGAGAAAAACTGAGAAAGAAAATATAGAATATAAAAGAAAGAGTAAAGAGAAAGTTAACAAAAGACAGAAAGGACTGAAAGAGAAAAGAAAGAAAAGAAACCTAAAAACAAAAAGAAACAAAGAATGAAAGAAAGGAAGAAAGGGAGAAAGAAAGGACAAAAAGAAACTGAAAGACAAAGAAAGAAAAACTAACAGAGAAGGAAAAGGAAAAGAGATGAAGAAAAGAAACAGAAAATGAAGAAAAGGAAGAAAGAGAAAGGCAAAAAAAAAAAAAAAAGAGAACTAAATAGGAAAGAAACGAGAGAGAGAAAGAAAGAATGGAAAAAAAGTGGGAAAAAAAGAAAGAGAAAGATCTGGGTGTAAAACTCAGTGATACAGCAGTTGCCTAGCATCACCAAGCTCTAGATTTAATTCTCCTCACAGCCAAGAAAACACACACAAAAAAAGAACTTAAGGTTTGGCTGAAGAAGTAGAACAACAGATTTGCAAGTACAAAAGTCCTACGTTCAACCTTGATGTCCACAAAAAACAGTAAGAGAAACAAAGAAAAACAAAGAGAAAACAAATGAATAGAAAAAGACAACAAAGAAACAGAAAAGACCATACACTAAAAGAAAGAAAGAAACAAAGAAGAAGCAATGAAAGAAGGAAGAAAGGATGAAGAGAAGACCGGAGGGAGAAGGTAGGGAGACAGGGAGGAAAGGAAGGACGGAAAGGAAGAAAGGCACGGAAAAAGAAGCAAGGTAGGAAGAAATGAGGAAGGAAAGAAGTGACAGAGGAAGAGAGCAAAAAAACTCAGAAAAAGAAAAAGAAAGAAAAGATTGAGGGATACAAGGTAAAATAATACTCAGTGATCCCATCAAGAGTCAGCATTCAGGAAATAAGCAAAAGATACAAAATCTAAATGGTGTAAAACGACTGAGATGCAATTAAGTAACGCCAACATCTGCCCTTCAACTTAGGTGACAACTAGAGGTTGTACACGGAATACCAGAATGCATACGTGAGGGTCCAAGCACCGAGAAAGAATTCCAGGAGCCCCCCTTGCCTTTTAAGGCCTACCTACACTATGAGGAGCACCCGAAGAAAAAGAAGGCGCCTGGCAAAAACTTCTGCCACTTCTACACTGGCAGAGACACAGCCAAACAAGAGGTGCCTCCCAAAGCGGCCCCCAAGACTGCAGTAATGGGAGAATCTCAGCGGGCCAAAGCACAACCTCTGCAGCCAGCGGCCACGGGAAAGCAGACCAGGGCCCCTGGAGCAATCGGCCTAGCAGGGTCCGTCAAGATTGGGTCGGCGAGGGCCAGCCTCC